ATCTTATATCTACAGAGAAGGAAAATGAGAATTGATTTTCACCACTAGTGATGTCATTATGTTATAAAAGTGGACACTGTGGATAGAAAGAGCAGATGAGCATTCCTCAGAATGGCAGAAAGAATAAAACACTTAATCACTTTATGTTCTTATGCAAAGAAGTTAATTTTAAATCCTTGATGAAGTCTTCTTGCAATCTTTCTAAAGCTGTTAATACTTTCATAAGATAAAAGAAAGTAACAGAAAAAATGGTTTCAGGGATTGTGCAACAAAATAAACTTTTGTTAGAACAGTGACAATTAAAACAAAAATAACACTACAATTAGTAACATGCACATGTCTATCCTATCCACAGGGGATCTTTACTTCTTAAGTAGAATTAAACAAGTAATATTTTTATACTGTGAAAAAATTGGGATGACTTAGTCATCCTGATTCATGAGAATTTCTATTTTAAGTCAAAAAACCATTTTCCACTAATGGAAGCTTGACCAGAAAATATTCTGCCTCTTCCATTGGTAGGAAGAATGTCAACTAGCAATATTGGTCCCATGAGAATCCAGCTGCAAGCCTGATCATCAAGGCCTAATGGCTGTAATTACTGATGTCCTCCTCTTATGTCCTTTCTGATGAAGGTGAGTCTGTAGTCTAGTCTCCCTAGTCCTTGCACCCAAGAACTTAACAGTGCACATATTAACTATGAGGTGACTTCTCAGCTCCTGTGCTCCACAGCAACTGTTTAGCCTGCAGCCTGTCCCCCAGGCTGGGCACCCATCTCTTCTGTGCACTCAGTACCCACTGCCCCATGGTGCTCTCTAGAAAAGGAAGCATTAACATGTCATTTATATTTATTCTCTGCATTCTTACCTAATTGCTTAGACATTAGCACCAGTTTGTATTGCCTCATGTTTCAAAAAAGAGAGAGAAATTTAATGATCTCACAAGCTCCTAAAAGCTACGTAGAAAATGAAGACAATTTCAGAGAAACCCAGAGAGTCCTTGCCTAAGAGAAGATTTAATGAGTGAGTTAAGCTGTGGAATGATAAATGCTCTGTGAAGTTTTGATTCAGGAGGTGATATTCAGTTCACAGGCATTCTCTTTGTAATTATTTCCTAAAATAGACATTTTTTATTTTACTCCCTTTTGTTTTCTGTTGCTCAATGATTGGCATTTTTCCAATACACACTAGAAGAAAAAGAATTAAAGTTTTATTAAGCTGTGCCAAGCATTGCTACAATCAGTACAAGAAACCATATTCTCCTCTCACTCCTATCATTTTTCTACTTGTGCAATGCAGTAGGCTCCACTGGAGCAGCTATAACTAAATCAGATCAACTAAAAAAAAGTCAGACTCAAACTTAAATTTTAATAGAGAAAAACTATTTGTTTGGACTTGCTATTTTTTACTTTGTTTTTCTTATTACACTTTCCTCTCTGTTAAACTGAGAACATTATGGTGAACTAACAGGCAACGACAAGAATGAGATTGGAATGCACTTCAAAGGTTTCTCCCATTATTAAAAGCAAGCAAGCAGTATGTTAATGGATGAAACAGCTTTCTAAGCCAGTTTTTATGATCTTGGTTTAATCATTATATTAATCATAAACCTACATAAATAGCTTGACTATTACTCTTTAAAGTACATACTTTAACACAATGATCTTGTAGCCAGAATTTGTTTAACATTTCAACTTCTACTTTTATTTCATGAGCAATCATACTCAACCAAATGACAGTGAATTCATATGTAGTAGGATAGAAAGGACCTGTGCTGCTATCATATGAAAGGTTTCAGAGACATGCAGTTGTTTCCTGATCTGCTTAATTAAATTCACTTAAATTTATGTGTGTAAATTTGCTTAAGTAATTTACTTAAGTAAATTCACAAGTATATTTTCTAAATTTATACTGTTTAAAATTATTCCATGGAATTCATTGCAGCTTTTTGAAGTCTACAGCAGTGCAAAAGAGAACAGATTTAGCCCACTGTTGCCTTACTTACGCATAACTGGAAGGTATGATCTAGCCATCCTCCCCTTAATGTTAAACATACCCGCTAATTAAAAGCCAAAACAGAAATTGTATTCCCAAAGCCATAGGTGTCAGAGGCGAGCAGTCTTCCTATCAAATTCAATGTATATACCACTTTAGCAGAGCAGCACACATTCTACTCACAACTCCTTACTGCACATCTTCCTCACAGACAAATATTCAGTGTGTTTCCATCTACACTATATCTTTGTTTCTAAAGATTACACACAGAATTTGGAATCCGCATATAAGATACCCAGAGGCATTTTAGGTTGGTTCTGTTACTCACTGATTAATAGCTTCTTTTTTTTTTTAGCAAGTTCACACCGACAGCAAAAAAAAATACAAGAAAGGAAGAGCAGATAACTAGACCTAGTCCCACTGCCCAGAACTCAAACTATTGTTTTATTAATTCTCTTTAAGAACTTTTATGCCTAGTTCTCCCTTTAAACACCTATTCTGACTCTAGATTATACTCCTTCACTGGGAAAACAATATAAATGAAATATGGCAAACAAAAATTTAAATAAAATGTTTTGTGATGTCAAAACAGATTTGCTGTTTCAACACATTTGATTATTTCAGAATGTTTTGGTATTTGAAAGGTTTCAGCATTTGGATTTTTTATAGCTGATTTGGAATTTTAAAAGGAATTTTAGAATCCAAGGAGATATACAAAGAGCTTCACCATTAGATAATACTGAAATTATGTTCTGGAACAAGCATAGAAAATCCCACACAACTACATTTAGTTTTGATTTGAAAAACACTGGACAAATGGATATTTAGTCCAGCATGGGACCAGTTTCTAATTCAAGTCCACAAATTGTTCAGGGGTAAAAAACACAATGAGATTACAAATTTTCTAACCATACTTGTGGATCAAAACCTCATTGCATCTCTTAAACTTCTCATCAAAGTAACAGGATGGTACCAGTTAATAAGATGTAAAAGCCAGACACAGTTTATTACTGGAGGAAGTAAGCTCATGAATGAAGAGTTCCCTGTCCTCCAGAGGGGTTTGCCTTCTGTGCTTTATCCTCTTCTTTCAAGGTTGGATATTTAAGAGCAAAATCCAGCACATTTATTATCTCAGTACAGTTTATTGAACAGAGTTTAAGATCATGCTCTCTACACATGTAGAAATATTTCTCCCCTTATAATTAAAATTCTGAGAACTTTACATATAAATGTATTCACATGTATTGATGGACTGATTTCAGACAGCGCTGAGCTACTTTTTCAATGCTGTTAACACAATGGGATAAGCTTCCCCATTTCCCTCAAGGATTTTAAAAAAGAAAAGAAAAGAAAACCTCAAACAAAAACAGACACGCAAAAAACCCCCACCAAACACTAAAACCAAGTCTCACCTAAACATGTGTTAGCACGATTCGCAAGACCTGAACATTCCGCAAAATGGAAGCAACTGCAGAAATATTACAGTAGATAATAATAGCTGGCTGCCTGTCACTGCATTGCCAATTAGCAATAAGAGCTCTGGAAGAGAAAACAGCCACTCTCCTAACGCACAACATGCGGCACACACTACTCTAGGTAGAGTCAGAAACTCTCAGTAAAACCTGTATCTGTTATACACAGGATATATTAGACAGACATGTTCATACCACATTCTCATGGATTCTGCTGACTAAAACAGAGAAAGAGAAAAATGATAAATGTAAAATTTCCCTCTGTATACCAAGATCCCAATGATCTTCATAGTGAAAGGCAACAGGCATAAAGAAACAAACCACATGTTTAACAGCCTGCTAGTAAATCATCATACTAAAGCATGAGGAGGTACCTGAATAAATAAAGCAAAGTATATTTTATAAATTATCTACACAAAATACAGTCTTCACTTCACAAGTGCCCGCCTCTGAGAGGCCACTAGGGACATTCAGGAGAGTTCTTCGTTTGAAAAACTGTCAGCAAAACAACGCTTCTCATTTCTACGCCTCAGGGTTTTTTCATATATTTGTTTTCTGTAGCCTACTCCATCTTTATCAGAAGCCCAACAGGAAGAAGATAAACTGGCTTGAAAACAGCCATTGAAAGAAAAATATGATAAAATATTCAGAAGAACATCTAAAGAGATGTTTTCTAGGAAACATTTAAGAATTGAAATCTTTCTTTTCCATTGCCATTCAACACTGTAAGTAGGTCATAGATGCTGCATGCCTGATGCCAGAACCTCAGAGTCTGAACTCAACTATTCTCTATTCCACTGACAAGGCAAAAAGAAATGCCCTTTTCTCCAAGAGCAAATGAAACCAGCTATTTTTCAATTTCTCACTGGTATATGTTAATTTGGTGAAATTGAGATGTCTTACTCAAGTTGATAAAGTTGAATAAAACTTGTCTCCAAGTTTTCTCAGATTCTCATATTTCTTGTCTCTTGTTTCTCAGATTCAGAATGGTCTGCTCTCTAAAGAGGGCAATTCACACTAGAACAGGGGTTTGAACCTGCTCCACTCCTATCCCAGAAGATGCTCTGTCCATCATACTTGTATTTGCCCTTGGAGGAGTTCCTTCTCTGGGTTTATTCAAGAGAACATTCAAAACACCTCAGTTACCTCAGTGTGGATTAAGACCAAAAGCAAAAACCCTAAGTGAATTCCTGTTTTTGACAGCTCTAATGAGAAAGAAGCAATTAATACCATCCTGTTGTAGATTGCATAAACACATCCATAGAACAATACATACAGAAAGGCCTAAAGCTATACTTGTCACTTCACCTTCCTTTTCAACATATGCACTAATCAGCCTTTTGCCATGATGGAAACAGAAGTCATTGAAGCGTAATGGCTGGAAAAACATAATATTGTAGTCACAAATACCATCTGAATTGCTACTAAAAATGCCCACAAAAATTACAAGGGAAATAGGAAGAAGCCATCACAGGCACTGAAGTTTTGAACAACCCTGATGATAGTCTAAACTGGTAGTTTCCATTTCACTTACCAATTTGTGTGTGAGCTGGATGGTAATAAGAGGAGATCCTGACAGGTTGTGGGACAACTTGGGTAGAGGATCCACTTTGATAGAGATAAGGTAACTGGCTGCTGAGATCATATAACCTTTGTAAGCAGCAGCTTCAGCAATCCTTGGAAAGAAACAAATATATATTAAGGATTTAGAACCATAAAATGGTTTTAGTTCACCCACAGCCACAGGATCACAGGACTTCCATTTCCCATGCAAGTCAAAGAATTTCTATATGCGAGAAAGATCTGGCCCAAAAAGATCCTACAAGACTAGAAGCAACAGCTACAAAGTATAGGGAACAGCTTTAGACGTTAGGAGACATGATATCATAAATATTCCTTCATTCTGCTCCTCTTTTGCAAAGGTTTACAAACCTTGCTGAGAGTGCTTTAATAATTAAAATCGTACAAAGTAAGGGATATAAAAATACCCTAAGCAGAGCGATCTAAGTGAGGAGAAAATTTGCAGGGGTTTCAGGCTGTCTAATTAAACATACATATCAGTAAGACATAAACTTATATATAACATACATAAACATATACGTAGGAATATATTTAGAAATAATTTATAGCTTTACTTTGAAAAATTGATTATGTCCAGGTAAGTTTGTTAGAGAGTAACTCGGGTCACAATACGAACAGCTGAACCTGACTAAACATCTGATTAGTCCAGATAATACTTTTTTTTTCTAGGCTGAAGTAATTTTGCAGTAAGAACGCTTTTATTTCTGCTTTCAGCTAAAACTTATGACTTTGGCATTTTCACACATTTAGGAGTAACTAAGATCCATTTGGCTGTAGGGTAAAATTTTTTACACTATCAGTAACAAACTGTGCAGGAGTAAAATGGTCTCTGTCATCTACCTCTTCACTATATGACTGAATGGCATTTACTATGAGAAATATGAGCCATGGGGAATGAACCATCAGTGTTGGTTTCCAAACATAGCACACCACTGGAAAGAGCCAGTTTAGAGAGCACATTAAAAAACATCTTATTTACACCTGCCACCTGTTTGCAATGGTTTCTTGTTTTTCCTGCAGAAAAAAAAAAGTCCTCAGACATTAAAATAACTTCGTTCAGTTCCTCAGCAAGGTCAAATAAACTAGAACTCATTTAGCACAACCCCAAGCACCATGCCTTAGTTCTGGCCACAAAAAAACCCTCATCAGTATCAGAGATTACTTCTGCTCCCAGTAACCAGCACGTGAATCGAGTCTTTTAATCTCAGGGCAGAATTTGTTACTCTGATATAAAAAGTTTAGAGAAGGACTCATAACGTTAAGACCACTATATGCCGTTTTGAGATTTCTGTATACGTATTAAAAGGATGAACATTTTTTTCACACCCATTACCTGCTGTTTTAACTTCAGAGAGCTAGATACATTTCAAAGTGTGAAAAAAATTTCAGCATAAGCAAGAAACAGTGTTTCTGTGTTTGATGCTTGCATATGCAACCCTTTTTTCACTGTGGCCCTGGATGTTAAACACAGTGAGTTTGTCGTCCAGTTACCTTTGTGGGGGATGACTACAAGTTTACACAAACTGTACATGAGCGGGAGCAGAACTGAGCTCAAAACCTTTTATTGTTTTGATTTTTTTTCTTAAAGAATCAAAACTGGTTCCCCTTAGAAACTGCTATTTACGTAGTCTGAAAATAGAAGTCATTTGTCTGCATAGCACAAAAGCTCCAAGAGTTTTGGTTTCAACTTTATACCACCAAAGAAAAAAAAATTGCCCTTAAGAAGAAAATGGACAGGCTTCAAATTACAGGTGTTCAAGTAGCTCAGTGCTAGAAGGAACATAAAAGAAAGTCTTTAAAACAAACTACTCTGGGAAAACGTTGTTATTCTAGTGAAATGTAAGCAAAAAAAAGTTATAATAGTACAGCACAAAAAAGAAAACCAAGCAGGAGAGAACTACGTGCTTATTTTTAAAACATTTTTTGAATACCTGGGGTTTGATTCCACAGAGGAAAAACGCTAAGCTAGCATTCCCTGTATTACTCGTATTTCAGATACTATTTTGAACAGATCTGCATGTAAAATTTTATAGATGTTATTCTGTACTGCATTACATACTGAAAACCATTCAAGTAGATTGGATTAGTTACAGAAATCTAGGACATGTTTCTTCTCCAGTGTCTTTGTGTTTCTCCTTAAGATCGCAGCAGGGCCAGACCCTTCATTCTAAAAAAAATGAGTGATAAAAATACATACTACTCAGTGGAACAGGAATGGGTCTCCAGGTTGTCCTCTTCCACAAAATTCAGAGAATGTATACAAAGAAGACATCACTGTTTCATTTTGCTATATTAGAGTCCCAGGAGCTGTGGACTCCATGCCAATGCATTAGAATACAGTGTTTTGACATACAGCATCTTTAATCATATTGTGTTTGCTAAACTTTGACTTAAGTCAAGACCATATTCATTCTCTCTCTCTTTTTGAGAAGCTGATATTGTAGCTTATGATCTGAATAAATTGCACTGATCCTCCTGTTTGAAAAACATAAGCTGTCATAAATTATTGCCTCTGTTTCTTCATGTTAGTAAGAAATATTACACATTAATGCCACGGTTCCTTTGCAGCCACCTGCCAAGTGCCCTTCTTTTGAAAGAGCAAGGTAAACAACAGTACAACTTGCTACTGAATTTAAAAATGTTATTTAGTAATAGTTGTGTGATTATCTCAGTGTGATCAATCTGGTCATAAGCCAGGATTTTTTACTCTGAAGTTCACAAATGTGTTCCCATGATCATGACCTTCCAGGTAGCTCTATGTAACGGAAGGGAGGCAATCATGGCAGCTGAGATGCTGTATCTTTCCTTCCGCTGTCATAAACAACACACCAAAAAGTCAGAGAGAGAAAGTGTGAACTAATTTACATACCCCAGCGTACATCAAATAACATAAAGTCACATGAGCTTAAAAGGAAAGTGTAATGATTTACACAAATGGCCTTGCAGAATTCCCTGGGAAACTGTATTGCCGAGAGGTATACAGCTCTGCATTTACTTTATCTTATCTGCTAATGATTTCATTGATGCAGCATATAAAACAAAAGGTCTTTTAAGCATTGCTTGGTCTTCTGTTGTAAAATTACCTTACAGGTTTCTAGGATTAGGATTCAGATTTTATCTAAAGAGGGATGTTATGTTTTCTTACTTGTTTCATTTTAGTGCAAGCTTTATCTTTATATGTGTCAGGAGAAAAGATGTAATTTCCTTTTATAAGACAGACTAAAATTATAAAAGTCTAATACCAGATATGGTAAATGGAAGGAGAAGACAAAGAAAGACAAACATGTTGCTATGGGAATATATTTTACTACAACATAAAGTAAAACATCTAATGCAAGCTTTAGACTCTCTCTAGTTAAGGACTACATGTCCTCTATATTGCAGAATCAGGATTATGGCTCGTAATTTATTTACAGTTGATAATGACATGACTGTTATAAAGGTGTATCACTAAGGTAATAAACAAGCTGTTAAAGCATGAGAGGTTTGAGATACTTACTTGGTATCCATAGGGTTGATATTATGAAAGAAATAGTGCATGTTATGGTAAAGCAGGCCGACAATGGTAATCCAAGCTGTGAAAAGGGAACAGGGGTTATTCCTCAGAGCAATAGAGCTTGCGCAAGAGACCCTTCTTCTAGACCTGAAACTCCATGTCAATTAAGAACCTTGACTTCTGTAGACTTTCATATCTTTAACAGATTTCCGGTTATTCTTTTTAAGTGAAAAAGTATGAATATCTTGCAGTACGGCACAGGAGACTGATATCAAAAGTAAAATAGAATGATGCCTGCCCTGCACACCTCTACTTCCAAAATAAGTTGTTAAAGTAATCAGTTGTCAATTTTAAATCCCTCACATAGCACTAGAAAGGGTTGCATGACATACCAGTGTCAACGTCTCAATGGTATCTAGAGTAGTCTCAAGGCTACTTCAACAACACCTACATTAACTGGCAGTTTATGAAACTCAGACATGGGAAAACTGATTTGCACTTTGTTTGTCTGTTTGCTACCTGCATTCCAAGTGTTTGTGGGTTCTCCATCATCTGAGTGAAGAGACAGATGCATATTTTCTAAGTGTCAGCCACACAGACATTTTTCACTACCCCTTTTGCTGGATTCCTAGTATTTATATTGTCAACTGTTTAAGTTGGAATAATAAATTTTTAGGTTAGCATATTTGGACAGTGTAGAAGTATGGCCTGAGGGCTGAAATCACTCAGAAGTGAGCTTTAGCTGGAAAAAGAGTTAAACATTTAATGGGCTGAATCACTTCAGGATACCAAGCATGATAACTTTCTGAGACAAAAAAGAAAAGCATGGTGAGAGACTTTATAAGTAGGAAAGGAAAAAAGTCTTCTCACATGCTATTTTTGGCATTACAAGTTGGTTTGCAATTATAGTTATTCAAGCCTCAGAGCACTTGCAGTGAAGTCTCCAGCCAGAGCTTCCTACCAGTGTAAAGAAACAAAGCTGTCATCACAAGTCAGGTAGACAGTTCAGTAATTATTAGAGTATTTCTCACTGCAGGTTATCTGCAGCTATCTTTGCACTTTGTGAATAGGGACCAACCTTCCTTCAACAGAGGTGACTCTGGAAAGGTCTCTGGGTGTGTAAATTCCATAGGTTGCAACTTAGGGCACATAAATCAGATTTCCAAAGATTTGGGGATGCAGGTAGAGTTTTTGTAAATAGGTTACTTCAATCCCTAATTAAAACATAGATAATTAGCATCAAACATTGTTATTTTAGAGTCTTGACTAAAGCTGCAGATTTTTGCCATACCTTGCTTTTGAGATTATTAGTATTTTAGCCTAGGTATGGATTTCTGAGTTCTGCCTTTTTGCTTTGACTGTGGTTCTGTTTCTGTAGCTGTTGTTGCTTAAACCTGTCATTTTATAGTTTAATTTCATACATTCAATTTAAGAGTGATTTTGCATGAAGAGATAAGTAATACCTGATCTGACATCCTGGAGTTTCATGAAAAAAATTTCAGATTATTAAAGATAATTTATGAAATTATGGCTTATCTGACGTAAAAAGATACCAAAATTAAATGGCTTCAGTCTCTGTGGCCCAGCAAGTAATATGAAAATTCTACCACATTAATCATTTATTAGTATGACAACTGCTGCTTCTTTAGAGCCAATATGATCCACAGTGATCAAATAGGTTACCTGGAAGAATAAAGCAAACCAAAACTTGCTTTCAAGCAAAATAATTTTTGGATACCCTGTTTACACGACTCTGCTCCTCCCTTTAAATTTTTTCTTACCTTTTTCACGAAAAGCTTCACTGGGAATGGAAATAAAACTCTGTCCTTGAGATGGAAATCGATAGTGGGACAAATTCAGAGTCTGAGGATGCATTTTGACCAAGCTGTAATCTGTGTCATAACCCAAACAAAAATATGATCAAATCAATAGCCTCTACAGCTTGCTTGAATATTTAACTAGGCTTCCCTAATAGCTAGTGCAAGTCTTGGATTTAAAACCTCAGATGTTTCCAGAAAATATAGCAAATTCCCCGAGTATAAAATTGGCTTTTATATCTGACTCCTTCATGATGGAGAAAGTGGTACGCACACTCTTAATGTACCATGGATCACTTCACCCACGCTCAAATACTGAGCTTACCAGGGCAAGCAAAACAGATTGATAACACACTCTTTCACTGAAATATGAAGGCATTATTTCAGACCTCCACTGCTCCATTTAAGAATGCCTGTGTCCAAGAGAGTATGTGCAGTGATTAATGGTACTGGTGACTGCTCAGGTTATTTGCCCTTTCACACAGGTCTCAACAAGGCACAGCAGAATGCCAGAACAGATGAATTACCTCTGCTACCTGTAGCATCCAAAGACACAGATGAAATTAGGGTGCCAGGATGCTAAATAGCAGTAAAATAAAGTTCTCCTAAAAGGTCAAAACTATTCCTATTATTTGCAATCTCTCGCAAAAACCTTGCAAAATTAAGGTTTTGTAACATCCAGACATCTGCAACTTCAAAGTGCTGCATAAGAGCTCTAGGCCGTTTAACTGCCTATTACTACAGTATAGTATTACTAGATTCATTTCATAGAATTCATATTCTAAACTCATCCCCAAATAACCTCAAGGAAGTTCAAGTACAGTCAGGCTGATCACCTCTGGACTAACTGTACAGTCATCTTTCTAGAACTGAAACGCTGTTTTGTATTCAAAAGAGAAAATTATCTGGTTTGATTTCCTCCTTCATGTTGACAAAAGAAGGGCTGCAAACACAGAAGCATTTAGGACATCCAACATTTCTGCTAAATCCTACCTGCCACAGATGATGTGCCCTCAACAGTTAAAGGTAACGAGTTTTCATCCAGATTGCACATAATATGAGCCATCACACTGTCAATAGTTTGAATTAAATTTCCAAATATGTGAGCGGTCTGGGGGAAGAAGAAAGAGAGGTGTCTACAACAAAAGAAATTGCAGTTCATAGCACAAAATGCCAAGGTGCCACATTAAATTCCTGTGTGACTCATCATTCAACCATCCAAAGTCAAATGTGACTTTCTCCACAATGTTTTCCACGTATAGTGGATAAAACGCTACGCAAATTGATGCCACCCAGAGCCTCACCTTATAAAATACGATGTTTTAAAGAATGTCTCCAAATGACACTCTGCTCTCACCAGCATTTGACAGTCAACTATACTCAGGAGTCAGCAGAATGAGGCTGAGAACTGAGCAGATTATTTTGGCAATATATAAAGACTGGTATCAGATCTTTATTAGAACATAAGATGAGACACTACCATTTGGCCTTTCTTTCATATTTATTAAAATAGTCCCCAGTAAAAAGCTACTTTTAAAGTGTTTATATGCCCCCTGGAAAACAACCCTCCAGGCTGAAACTTGTTCCATAAAATCTCAGAGCAAATGCATGTTTCAATGAAAAAGAAATCTATTTTATCTGAAATCTATTTACATCAGAGATGATCAAGGATTTTAGGCTAAGAATTTACATCAGTTAGACATATTTTTCTCTCAAAAGCATTTTAAGCTTCAGTGAGACCTGTTGTGGTTTAACCCTGAAACAAGGACAGACCTTAATTTACTTTAGCCTCTCCTCTCAGTTTAAAAGCTCTCAGTTCTGAAATCTGCACTCCCTTAAGGTTCAAACAAAAATCTCAGGAAATTCCTGGGTTCCTCCTGCAAGTATTTCTCTACATTCTGAGAGGTAGACTAGAAGAGAAGGAACATTGATACAAATTACTTTCTCCTATATTATGTTCAATATCTCTCAAAGCTTCACTTCACTAAACAGGTAAGCACTATCGCATATTTCACTTGCATTGAAAAACATCAATCTACAAAACAAAATAAACTTTTAAATATCAAAGTGCAATGCTAAAAAAGGAGTGGTTAAACACTTACTTTGGTGACAATATCTATTATTTTATAAATACAAATTTGTTTCATTCATCCTGAAATGTGTGGGAATAGCAGCAAAGTTTTCTTATTTTAACCCAACAAAAACACATTATAAAAGAAAATGACAATTATTTTGCCTGTGGATCTTTACTGCAAATATGGAAGTGGCATACGAGAAAATAAATAACTCATACTGCCAAAAAGTCCTAACAAGAAGAATAATAGAGGCACCCAGTTTCATTACTGTCCATGTGAAATTATGCAACCAAAGTAACCTTCATATCTAAGCCCATTTGTCTTACCTCTGGTACATCAATCCAGTTGGGCAATAACAGAAAGTCTTCAACAGCTTTTAAAAATGCCTAAAAGATAAATAAAACTGTATTATTTGATTATTTATTTAATCAGCTACATCTCCTGGTAAGGATCCAAGGCAAATCTCTGCTAGGATTTTCTTAGGTTTATTTTAAAATGAGAAGCGCATTTCCATTCATGTCACACATTCATCTCTACCTGCCAGCACTCTCATCATGTTCTGTACGGTGACATTTTAAAGTAATAGTTTATTTATTAAATAACACCACTGTGAAACTCCCAAAGTGCAATCATTATACTACAGCTGAGATTACAACACTGGAACGAAGACTGAAAGTGACCTTATTCTCCCATTTTATCTAAACTCATATGACATTAATACCTCTTTTAGTCCTAGATTACCAGATATTTGACCAGTACTAGAATAAATATCTCTGTCCCATCACGTGTACAATGTATTATCTGCTTTACTTCTGCATGCAAAGATGGTTTTTGAGGTCAAGATCTGTCACAGTGGGCACTGTTCAAGTGCTCAGCATGATACAGTCCCTGTCTTAAGGAATCTTGCTGACAAAGACAAATATAAGGAGGAGAAAAGGGAGCACATAAAATTACACAGAAGATTATAAGAAAAAAACCCCCACATTTCCTGCTTGAACTTCTCTGTTAAAATATCTTAAAAACATCAATCAAATATACAAAAGTTCCACTGAGAAATGTGGAAGAAAGCTGCAAGACTTTTCCAAGCATAATTTTACAAGTCATAATACACAGGGCAGTACTGGCCCTTTGCTATATGAGCTTACTTTTGGGCAGCACAAACCTTGCAGCCCCTCTCAAACATTCAGTGCGGAATTCTACCTGGCAAGCACAGACGTTATCCTAAACCCAGGACCCAGTCCAAATTCCCCAGAGCGTTCAGTGAGTATCTCTTTTCAGGTCACAGCATCACTCCAGAATTACTCCAAAGAGGATGTGTTAGACCACTGGAAAAGGAGGGAAAGCCACAGTACTGGACCTTCTGAGCAGAGCAGCATTGTAACAGAAAACACAAGTCAGATTTCTCAGAAGCAATGCATTGTAAATGTGTGTCAGTAATCAGAAAGTTTATTGCGTATCGCTTATATCAAATTTTCTTGTGCTGTGAGGCATATGACAATCAGGACAGAGATAACTTTACAGAAAATAGCATACATGCTTAGTGCCTGTCTTCCAGGGAATTAGCTGCAGACAATACAAAGCCTAACCATCAATCAGACAAATGACAGAGTCTCTATGTATGATCAGGACTCTCTTGTGTTTACTTCCCAAAATAGCTTTGCTAAAGATAAGCATGTCCCACATTTCTGTCTGTAAATCACATTCATGGCACACAAAGCAGCATCAGATAGCATGAATGAGCAACCAAATGGCAACTGAAATGATGTGGGAAACAAGTACAATATCTGACAGGATGACGTTCCATTTTCAATTTAGAGCCCACACAAAATTTTCAGCAAAACAAAGGAAACAATGTATTAGAGCTTTTTAGAAGGGTTTTTGCTACATATTAAACTGTGATCCATGAAATCCAAGCTTTACAGTTTGCAAATGCTAAGCTTTTAACACAAACTACCAATTGCTGCCCATGTAGTTTTCAGAAGCATTTATTTATATTGTTTGTCTGAGTAAATAATCCTTGTCACCCTGGTATTACCCGCAGGCTTAAAGGAACAATCACTAGTGAGGCCACAGCTGATTACTGTAATAATAGCTTTCGAGCCTGCTGAAATCAGGGAATTAGATGTCCATCGTTTTACAGAAGGCTAACTTTATGTTAGCAGAATGTGACCCCTTGTCCTCAGCTCAGACTGCAGAAAATGCTTTTTTTTCCCCCCTCTTTTCCTTTGTGGATTAGCTTAAACAAAAATAAATTACTCAGTTAAGCTTTGGACCTGATCTTTCCATGAACTATTTTCAGTGGAGATTTGTGATGTCTACACAGGAGTCCTGGCTGTGTTTGGAAGCGGGTGCAAGATAAAGATATTAACTCACAAAAGCTAAGGACACCACCCTCACAAACAGGCCATCTCCCGCAGCTTTCCACCTCCAATGCAGAGCTGGCAGAGCAGGGTGTGTGCCTCTGCCGTTGCAGAGTCCAGCGAGCAGAACGCTTACTTTGCAAAAGAGAAGACAGACTAGAGGAACACCTTGCCCTCTGCTTACTACAGGAGCAATAAATGCTTACAAAAGGTTGGACAGACAGCTGTAATTGATAGCTTTTTAACCCTCTAGGTTTTTTTAACCCTCTATCTCAAATATAATGTTACAAGCTTATACTTGTGCAGTTACCCAGGGCCAGACTCATACAGCCACAACTAGCATGCTCCACGCATCCAAGATAGTTTGCTATTAGTTCATGCGTGCCTCCATTTTGCTGCTGTCACTACTCTGATTACAGTGGTTTTATGTCCTGCACCTGACAGACAACTGTCAAACTCTTGCATTTTGGATCAGCTGCACCCTGCAGAGAAATGCTGATTTTTTTTCCCCCCGAATTATATATTCTTCATTGGATACACTTGCAGGTGAAAAAACCTAACATTATTTTCTCATCCTCTGTTTCCTGCCCAACTAAATAATTCTTTTTGATGTGTGATCATGGTTCCAAGTATTTATAAATTTGTGCATTAAATAATATCCCCAAGAACTAATGAGATCTTTAAACCATTTTCACTGGTTGAAGTTCACCTTCTGCTACTCCTTAAAATAGCTGCTGCTTTTATCATATGTGTTTTCTGCAATCAGCAAAAACTTTCAAAGCCACATTTTATATTCCAGCTGCTGGAGAAATTTCAGGGCCATAGAATCATAGAAGCATTTAGGTTGGAAAAGACCTTTAAGATCATCGAGTCCAACCGTTAACCTAACCCTGCCATCCCACCACTAAACCCTGTCCCTAAGCACCTCATCTACCCTTCTTTTAAATACCTCCAGGGACGGGGACTCGACCACCTCCTTGGGCAGCCCATTCCAGAGCCTGAAATGGCCATCTGGCTACACACAGAGATGTGAAAGACACTTACCTCTGTCAGGCTTAGGGCAGTATTTTCCGACAAGGATTTGTTGGGCAAGCTGAAGGACGCGTTCTCCAGGTAGCCCAGCATGGTGTCTGGGGAGCGGAAGTTCCCTCTCTCCTCCGTCAGATTAGTTATGATGGGCTGATAGGCATTTGTAGAGAGCTACACAAGAGAGATAAAACTCATCAGAAATTATTCCATATGGCAGTCATTATTCATTGTTTTAGCCCAAAAGGGAGTTTGAGGCATAGAAGACTCCTATGGTTACACTCAGGAGGCTACGTAAGCCAAGGGACAAGGAAAGTGGACAGATAGACAGGATAAACAGAATATACAGGCATAGCTTTTTTTTTCATTAGCAATTCAGGTCCTATCTGCCGTGGTTTCCTGAAAGCCTCTGTGAACAAGAAGAAAACTAATAGAACTTTGACACTGCAGATAGCCAGAAAGTGAAAACACACTGCAACAGCTAATTGCATGTAGGCTGATTACAGCTAATTATATAGATGCTGCAGAGGAAAAATTAATTTTATTTAAATCTTTTTCATTAGACACTTAGTAAACAGATGAACACTAATGTTGTGGTGGTGGTGGGAACTTTTTTTTCTAATTTTAAAGGAAGTAAGAGTTAAAATTAGCAAAATGGTTTTGAATATCCTATATCTTCAAAGTTCATTGAAATATTTTCTACAGTTTCTACATTTTTTCCTTTTTTTTTAGATAGAAAATACCTTTATTTAACAATGAATTTCCTTTATCTGTCCTAAGTTAAGAGTTCTTTAGTAATTCCATCTTTCCATGGTTGCTAAAAGTTCTCCCTATGCATATATGAAAACATTTATAATTGGGGTACTAAGTGCCACTAATGAAAATTAGGTGAGGAAGGCCTGCAACTCTGTAAATGCATTCTGACATTATAGAAAAGAGTTATGAGGACTGTCCTACCATGGGTGTTGTAGTGGTTGTCATCACAGACCATGGAAGCGTTGAAGAAAGTGAAACTTGCACACCTGAAGAAAATGCATGCGCAAATGAGCGTGTTAATAAATCTTGTATTTCCACTGCAGGCTGAATGAGTTCTAACTGAAAATAACATATTTGCTGTTCTGTGTGTTTTACTTATTTGAAGTACTGTAGCTATGCAGGCTTGTTTAAAGTATTTCATTTACTGATTCTCTCATTAATTTTATTTCATCACCTTTATATAGATGAGCCTTGCAATTTAGTCTAAGTCTTAAACACTTAAAATTAAAGCTTTATTTGCAAACAGGAAATTTCAATGTTACAGCTCAATAAAAAAAACAACAACTGTACATTTAAAACATTGGCATCCATCTTCCTTCTCTAACTCTTCCCACAACATTTATGCAAAGTATTTATGGAAAATTAAAAAAAAATCTTATGTCTTATCAGAAATAAATAATAATCTGTAGGCACTTCTGACAGTTTCCTATACAACCTTGCTATATTTCTGTATATTTGTTAAACTGGAACTACGAACATACAGACACTGGAAAAAATGAGACTCAGGTTTCAGCTATTATCTCCAAATGCTAGTGTTTACTTCTATCTTGAGTCTAAATCACTTGAGTGCCAAATAAAAATCATACCCATGAAGGCAAGTTCAGAAAAACTGTAAGAAATATTCAAAGTCAGTGGAAATAATTACGTTGCTTGCAGCAAAACTAAGGCACGCTCAAATAGAAGAGAACCCTCAAATAAAAGAACATTGGTAGAAATGGTGGTATACTAAAGCTTTTGGGGCATGCTATAGTTTTGCATAAAAAAAATAACAGCGGTCAAGGAGTCAAAACACAGCCTTCATTAGTAGTTTGAGCCTATTATAAGTAATGTCTCCATTTGTTGCTTGAAATCAACTTACAAACACCTGTGAGGTTGCTATTAATCAGACAGGCTTTACTAATAAATAGCACAATATCCATTGAAAATTACCAAATGAGTATGTCATAAATGATTTGTCGAGACAGAAAGAATAAACTCAATTTTGGATGCTTTCCAACAGCTCCATTTTAAAATATTGATTCCTTTCTGTGCAAAGGGATTTATTGGTCATTTGTGATAGAGAAATAAAATTTTCTTCGAATCTATGTCTTACCAAGAATTTATATTTGCCAGGAGTGTGGCATTTCAGCACAATCAAACAGTAGTTGCATATATAGGACACATTTTTCTCACTGATCCAAAATAACATGATTGTTCATTCTATTAAAAAACAGGCTGTCCTATTAAGTTTCTTATGTCAAACTACATTAGCCCAGCTTTAACCCTGTTTTAAGTCCTCCAAAGTCAATAAATAGACACCAAGAATAACTTTTGTTTACTATGTTGATTAATATTGTAATATCCATTGCTTCCTCTGAGAATGCTCTAACTTCATCCATCAAATTGGAAATTTTATAAAATCCAATCAGTCCACTACTTTGAAGGAAAAAGCAAAAAAAATCACTACTCCACGTTTGTCAGGTGCTCCGAATGACCTGAGCACTTCAAAGTAAAATTCGCTTGAAATTCTTCACACTTAAAAAAAAAATATATATACCTGGCATCCATTTACATTTTAATTCCTAAGCCCCTAGAAAATACACATCAAGCTTCACTTTCAATTAAGAGGCTAGGAAGTTATTTTGCACAGAAAATTGATAGTTCCAGATGACCCTGAAAACCTGTGAACACCTAATATCATGCAAATTGCAGTAAACTCACAAAAGCTCACATCACGAACAGCTTTAGTGTATAAATCAGGGAGTTTGCTATTCAGCCTTCTAAAAATCGGCAGGGATTGAAAAGTAGGATACAGGCAAAATTTTGTACAACTCTAAAAATTTAGATTTTAGCAAAATCTGAGGGCCCAACTCTTTCTGCTGTGTTTCAAAAGCCAGCTACAAGCATTAATGCCCAGTAACCAGATATTCTGAGCTCCAGTAAGACTCTTGCCAAAGTGTAGAGGAAAGTAGTAGAAACTTAAGTGCTGAACAGGATTTACGTTTGTGGAGAGAGCTTTCCACGACACCTTCATTATTTGTTAGAGTGCAGATGGAAGGGTGGAGGGCTTCAGAGGATGGTTGCTGTCAGCCCACAAGCGTTCAAGGAAAAAAAAAAAAATTGTCTCTGTATTCATGTAAGTCATGCTTCTCTGACAATGAAACAGGGCACACGTATAGATGGATCAGGTCAATGTGAAAATCTACTGCTTTTGAGTTTAGTAACATAACATTCTTCTTGAGTTACACTAAATCAAAGAATGTGATTTATGGTAGCCTTAAGCTGGGTAGTGTCACAGCAACCCTAGATCGTTGTGAAAGATACAACAGCCAAATACAAAAGCATTTTTTCTCCGACATGACCAGAATATTATAAAGATGATAAAACTTTTGTTTTTTAAGATTTTAAAACTATTTCCTATATCAAATGAATGCTGTCCCAATCAGAATTTCTGAAGACTTTCATAGGAATCACTTTTTAAAATAAAAAGGTTTAAAACCAAAAAACTTGAGTGGAATTGCTATTATTTGAGTGGCAAAACAAATAGATTACTTCATTATAAACCAAATGGAAGGTTTTCTTTTTCAGTGACTTCAATTCTACATAAACTAGTTTATATTTTCTTTTTTGATAAAAATGTATTTTGTATATATTTTATTGCTATAATCAAACCTGGAAGTCACAAACGCATACATTCTCATTTCCAGGTATGCATCAGAAGTTCTGTGTTATTCAAAGAGTTTCTGTTGTGAAAATGGTTCCCATGGGTTTAAAAGTACAAGAGTTATGGGTGTAACTGTTTTAGCTCTCAGAAACCTAGTAAGAATAAATGAAAGCAGGGAAACTGCCAGCAAAGCCAAATGTTCCAGATGGCCCATAGCTTTATTCCCAAGATGGATGTTTTCTAATTGCTACTCACACACAAGCAGCACTTAATAGCAGCAGCCTTTCTTGTAGTGAAAAGTTTATAATAAAAATCCAAAGAACAACTGACAGGGTTTACTGGCCAGTCTTCTAAGTCTTTGTTCTAATCCTGATTCTTTGCCTTTTATATTACATTTCAGCTGGTATCTTTCTTTTAAGTTCACAAGCATACATGAGTTCATAAGTCTTTATCGTTCCACAAACTGTAGAGATAACCATTATTAACCACATCTGCCAGAATACACGGATTGGCTTGGCTCTAAGTTACACAACAACCAGACTGCAAGCTAGCAATCTGGAGTCATTCTTTCCTAATAGTGTTCTGCCTCAAGTCTAATTATTGCTTCTCTTCGCTTGATCCTAGGAGATCTAACAATGGCTGGATACTTCAGGTCTTGGTAAATTTTTAATGACATTTTTAAGGAGCTAGAACCCAGGATAAAAAGACTACACATTCAAAGACTGCTGAGCTTTTTGGTGACATCCATACCTGACTTTCTGCCTCTGAAAGTTACATTCTATAGCTGAAAGATGTAAAATGAACAGAAATCCTATTCATGAAATATTTTTAAGTCAGCATCTTTGCAGAACATTAATGATGGCAACGGTGCATATACTCACCAATAGCAGCTGTAAAGTACTGCTCAACTTCATTGGGGGTGAGTGCCCTTTCCCATATAATGAATTCATCAAATGCCCCATTCACATAGCGCTTAGTTTGATCCCCCCCTGTCCCAGTCAGTAGATTTGCACCGGGATCTCCATAATCATAGAAAACTTTCCCATCTGGATCAGTTGTGTTTAGAGTTCCGTTGACATAGACTTTCAGTCCTTCTCTTGATTTCCAAGTAAAGAGAATATGAGTCCAAAAAGGACCTGCAAAACATTAAAAGTCACAGCACAATCCATTAATCAATTCCATTTAGAGTCTTTCCTGTTCAGTAAGTTTTTGCTGACCTGTGCGATGCTACAGAGCTGTATAGGAAGTGCTAAGAGTGAATTATGGAATGCTGATGTCATGTATATTACTCTTTATACCCATGGGGAAGCCCATACTTTGGCAGAATGCCTGTTAGCTTTTGTCTGAACTCTTACTTGGGCTCACTGCAGTTTCATAAATTAGACGTGCTAGGTATTATTGGCCAAGATTTGAAGTCTCTTCAAAATTGTCTCAAAATTCAGTTCAGAAAGAACTGCATAAAGACCACAAGAACTGAAGAACAAGCAAACAGACTAATTAAGAAGTTGCCACGGTTTCTTTGTTGCTTTTAAGAAGCCTAAAACATGATATTAATTTTCACTCAGATCGGGCAATCCACAAATGTGTGAATCATTCTTACCATGTAGCAGCTTTTCTCTTAAGATTTTTAAACTTATTTATTAAGCTTTATAAAACTCTGCTACTACGAGGTGAGAAAGTCCTATTTTACCAATGTACTGGTAGTCAAATTAAGGCAAGAAAAGTTTTCATGACTGTCATGGGCATTACTAGAAGACCAGAATTTGTTCCAGTCACTAGGTAATATCGCTCCCCAACAATACAGTTTAGATAGAAGCAGTAAGATGTGTTGTGTGCCAAAATGTTTATTAACACTATGCCATGGCACACAAAACTTGACACTCAACAGATAACAAAATGACCGAAGCACTGAACACCCAAGTTAGTTACCAAATAAAGTCTTAATTTAGAAGGCAGTAGAGGACAGCACATGTATCCAGTTTTAGAGTATACTGAGAACTGTCAAGGATTAACCTGCATTCTTCACTCATATTTCCATCTACGCCCTCATTAATCTATTGATGTCAATAAGAATTCCACTTCAGAAACAACTGGAAGTCAGATCCAAGGACTGCTACTGAATGGCAAATGTTCTATAATACAGTATCACTGTTTTTTCAATTCATACTTTATCTCTCCCCCCCATCAAGAGAATTCTTGAGCACAGAGCTCTGTAGCTATTTTTAAATATCCACTTCTCTTTCCTGAAGCTGTGCTCTTACCACTACATCTCTCTGCAAGAGTGAAATAAAATATAACAAAGAAATGAATAAAAAAAAATTATAAATTTTACCTGGTGGACTAAAGCTTGCTTTCCACTTCATCATTGCCTTCCCACGGGTGTAAAATTCCACTGAGCCTTCGCCTTCATTTGAACAGATTTTGAAACCACTGGAAATTACTTGTCCACCAGAGGCAGGGAGAAACTTAGCCTGTTGGTCTTGAGTCTTCCAGAAAAAGGAAAATGTTACTCCTGATGAAAGCAAGTGAGAGGAGATTTTCATGAAAAAAAACCAAAACCAAAACCAAGTGCAATTAAAAATTTCCAGTACTGTAGAATACAGAGAGAGGGAATGCTTTGAGGACACATCATCTGCTAGCATAAACAAGGACAGTATCTTAAAATCAACAACGCTCTAACAGTTTAAACCAAATAAACATCTCTTCCTTGGTTTCGCATCACATGCACATACCCAGGACACAATAGTACTCATTGCTTCCTGATAAAACTTAAGTTCTTTGAGCTCCAAGAGTAATGAAGGTTGGGGTTTTTTTCTTGCAGATTTGTGATTCCATTCTTTTTGCCTTACCTCTCCAGTCCCCTTACCCTTCTCACCTTTCTGTGATGATCCTCTTTTCCTCCCACAATCTTCGTTTATTTTAAAACACAAGTTGCTCTCGTCTCACAGTATCCTCCACCAGCATCTACATCTTTTTGTGATGTTCACCAAATGCCAGCAGAGACAGAAATAGTACATCGACTGCTTCTAAGCTACTGATGTGCAAACTGGCTGCCAGCATGCCCATGCTTATTGAGTAGCATCCATTGAGTACTAATTACACTTTAATTCTTCTAAGCATGCTATTCCCTGTGTTTTCACACTTCAGTTCTCTAATAAATGTTGAAAGGAAAGAACCAATGTAAAAGAAAGGGACAGCAGCATATGCAGAGGCACGGTCAAAATTCTGAGGTCCTCACCTACACAAAAATCAAAGAATTTTTCCCAAAATGCAAGTACAATCCTGCAAGTGCACATGTGATTAATTTTGTCCACAAATAATCCTGTTCAATTCACAGTAAATTTTAATATTATACTGTAAAATTGAAGAGCTCTTGAGATTGCACATTAGTGAAGAAATATGATTTCTGTAAGACAGCTTGTTTCTTTAATAAAGGTTATCTCAAAAGGCTTGACTGAAACACAAGTAGCAAATCAAACCTCCCTCGCACTTCAGAAGTTCACAGTGGCTCTAGCTGTAGAGGTTCTGCGGTCAAATGCAATTACAAAGAAAATGGCTTGACTAAACAGCTCCTAAAAATGTTAATCTCAGAATTTATAGTACAAAGTGCTAACAATACAATCTGAGTTCAGAGGAGGTTGAGAAAAAGTTTATGAAGTACAGAAGTGGAAGAGGTTTTGCCACCAAAAATTATGATGAATTAAGTTGGCAACGACCCTAAAGATCACCTAGTCGAAACTGCCTGCTCAAAGTAGGGCCAATTTCAGAGCTAGATCTGGTTGCTTAGAGCTCATCTGAGATTTTAATGTCACCACAGATGCAAATTCCACAGCCTCTCTGCGCAAACCATCCTGATGTTTGGCCACCCACATTGCAAAGAAACTTTTTTTCTGTGATCTAATCAGCATTTCCTGTACTACAATGTGCTTGCATTGCCTGTCACATTTTCATTGTGCATCTCCAAGATTATTTAGCTCTATCTGCTTCTATAACCACCCATCAGGTAGTTGAAGGTGGCCCTTAGCATCCGCTTTCCTTCATGGTGTAAGGAAAAGCCTCAGACTCCCATGTCATGTTGTCCAGCTCCCTAAGACATCTGCTGGACTCACTCTGGCTTGTCAGCATCTCTTTTGTATCAGGGGACAAAAACTGAATGGAGGGGAATAATCACTTTTCTTAACCTGCTGACTACGGTCTTTTGACATGTAGTCAAAAAATTGGTCTGGATGATTTTACAGTTAGCAGTTCTGCAGGCTGCCCAGGCAGCATGAACTCTGCTGATTTGCCACCAGATAGCCCAGCATAAGTTAATGAAGCCCTCAAACTATTATGTACATTTCTTGTTAAAACCATAGATTTATTTTTTCTTATGTTTCATAGTTTTATAATTAAAGACGGAAAAGCCACAGACAGCTCACTACAGTCATCAGAAATATTCCCCCACACTACTCTCTGGAACACAATTTTTTCATATTTCACATATTCTTTTTGTCACATTAACTTAGCAGAAAAGTTAAAAATTATATTATTGCAGAATAAATGATTTAACTATGTAGTATCTTCCTGTCTAACTGATCTTTCTGTTTATCCTCATCACAGCACCTGTCAATTTGCATGATCTACACACCATTCCCTAAATGCTTTATACATGATAAAATAAACACCACGGAAATGCTAATCAATTATCATTGGCCTCCTGGAAATCAATCTGTATATGAACATCATCAATCTCAGTTTGATAGATCTTGATGGATAGGGGTTTAAAACTATAAATGCTAGGAACTCCCAACTGGAGGATTTGAGAGCTGTTGTAAGCAAGTTCCAGTACCTTCATCAGCAGATAAACCTGAGTTCATATTTCAGCTTCTTTACCACACCAGTAACAGGTTGAAACACTGATCCAACCCTCATTCCAAAGAGCCATATATTTTCGTTGTTTCTGCATGCCATCCTTCACCACCCTGGTGAAAGGGCCACCAAGGCTGACCATGTTAATCTATTACTGCTATTAATGTGATTCCTCTGTCAAAGTGTCTCACAATCTTTTTCCAGTGCTTCACCACACTGCTGAAAGGTATGGAAGTGCTGTTATTCCTTCTTTACAGGCTGAGAGCTGAAGTTTAATTGATGTAGACAGAGAGACCGAGTTATACAGCATGTCTGCTGCGGAGCTGGTTTCTCCCATCTTTGACTGTCTATCCTATTGGACTACCCTGTAGCTACTGATCATCCTGTAGCCACAATAAAAATGTGCATCTAAATCCTCTGGTTCATTAAATGCCAAAACTAAAAATAAAAATTTAAATAAGGCACACAATAAACACACAGCTTTATGAAATGGTATGTTGTGCATAGGGCTACTTTTTAAAAAATTTTATTTTCATTTCAACTTCATATATGTTCACTAAATCTAACTTATCCTACTGTGTTCAAACTAATGATTAACTTTTGCATCTTTCATGAATGGTTCTTCTGACTGAATATGCCACTTTTATGAGCCCAAAATTACTCAAAGAAAACCATTATTTAAAAATTACTTGAGAAAGAAGGAAAGGGGGAAGAATGTTTCAACATTTTAAAAACAAGAATAATTTGTTTTCTCAAGTCAAAATAACAGTTCTGAAATGTTATTAAATTTAGGCTAGGAAAAAATATTGGGCTTTTTGTTTCACATGTTGCAATAATTCATCCAAAAAGATCCCAAGATCATTTCAGAAAGCATTCCCTGCTTAAGTGTACTTAACACCAGTTTCACATAAGTGCAACGAACATCAAGGGATATTTAAGCAATAGTAGGCTTGAATAAAATTACATCTTATCATTGCCACAGGTTGTATTTGATTCAGATAAAAAAAAGAGACTCTTTAGATAAAGGGGTGTTGGCTTTTCTTTTACATGCTAGTGATTTATTATTTATAGTTTATATGATTTCTTCTCTTCACATTTTATCTGCTGAACATTTCAGTGTTTTATGTTTTTAATGTTCTTGTTTGTGAGATACTGGGAATGCTCTGGTACTATAAAAATAATTTATTCTGATTATTATGTTATACTATAGATGTAGAAATAATATGACTTACTGATGATTTTTATTTCCCAGTGGTATGAAAAAAAATTAAAAGATACAGCACGTATCAGAAAATATGCCTCCAGTAGGATACCATATTACTTTTTCTAATACTCTCAGGTAATAGCCACATACCATCTGCTCTCTGAGTTTCTCTTACTTTCTTAAAAATGTAATACACAGCTCTTGCTATAGCAGCTAAAAAAAAAAAAAAAAAATCCTATTTCAAGTAATGTTACCAGTTCGAAGAATGGCTTAAGTCAATAAAAGCAAGAAAATTCAATGTTAACAATACTGCTTAAGCTTAGGGACCGCTGGAGTTTATGTATAGAAAGCCACAATTTTCCTTCCATTTCTACTGAATTCTAAATCCCTAGTGAGTGTTTTATACTAGTGACTAGTTCTATATTTGGGTTGACAGTCACACACAGTTTTAATCATCTTATGTCATCAACGCATTTCCAAATCTGTGTTCCCCACGTCATTTTGTGACCCTAGAGCAAGAAAAAGAAAGGGAAGAGAAATAGAATGAAAACACTTAAGCACCTACGAGGACAAATGGATTCCAAGACACTGGAGGCTTAAAAATTCTGTTATCTCTAAAGATTAATATAAAAAAAAATATTCCTGCTAAGAGGCCACACTAAAAAACAGTCTCTTCTTTGTTTGTCATACTGCAGTTCTTGTTAGAATTAATCTTGGTGCCACAGGAAGATTTTGGGCACTCTAAGCTTATTTCTAGTTTTGTTTGAATTAATTATACTGTAGGTCATTGATCTGAGTAGCTGGTGATTAGATCTAATTTAAATTGCAGTTAGAAAAGGCTAAGTTTTCAGCAATCAACACTCAATTGTTCGAAAAGTCAATGAAGAATAGCGTCAAGCTAGAATTTTAGAGAGTTCATTCCAACAAGGAAAGAAACAGTGATTATTGAATTACATAACTTGACAGCAAAAGAAAAACAAATAGTAATTAATGAATTTACTAACCTTCAGGTCCACAAACTTCTGGATTACTAATGCAAGAATTTTGATAGCTTCCAAAGAAGAGAAAGGTAACTCCTTTCTTTTCAGCAACATAAATTCCTTTGTTCACCATTCCTTCTACAATATCTAAAGGAAAACCAAAATAATGTTAAGCTCTTATATAAATCAAAACTTCCTAGAAACATGATTTTAACAGACTCATAAACCTCATATGTTTATTTTGTCCCAACCATAGCTCTACTTTTAGTGGTTTTTTGTTGTTGTTTTTCTTTCTGGGTTTTGTTTGAGTTTGGTGGGGGTTGGTGGTGGTTTGTTTTGTTTGGGTTTTTTGTTTGTTAAGAACCATACAGATAACTTTCATTTCAAGTTTGTAAAAATTATACATGTCATTTAGATTCTTGATTAACTAAGACTGCTTGACAGAACCCATGCACCCAAAAATTATTATTTCAAAGTAATCTGAATAGACTTCATGCTTTCAGAGTTCTGGATACCAGACACATCATAGAAGAGATGTTTCTGTCTTACTGTTAGGTGGAGTTAGTGAAGAAATTCTTTAATCAATCAAAAATATAACAGAATAGAGGTTTTTGGGGTTTGGTGTTTTTTTTTTTGAAAGGGAAATTTTGTGGTCAGAAGCCACTTTTCCATAAAAAAATTTCAATTAAATATAATTTATAAGCTATATTTAAAAGGGAGAAATATATATCTTTTTCAGACATACTTTGGTATGGCATCATTGTCATTTGGAAAGGCTATTTCTTTATCTAATATGGATAATGACTAATTGTCTTGTGATTTGATTGTGATTTTCTTGTGCTCCCCTCCTAAAGAAAATCACTGTTGATTCATCTCCTACTAGCTAAAGTGCATGAGCCATCTTAATACTAAAAAAAACATGACTCTACTATAGGAAACCTCACTAAGGTCTGAGAGTCCAGCTTGACAGATGATGGTGGGAAGTTCATCTCATTTGTCCCAAGATGAAAAAGCAGGACTAATTTTAGCAATGAAGACAATAGGAAATTGCAATTAAAAATTCTGCTGTGTTAATAAGCCTTCATTCCATAGAACACTAAATGTTCTATCGTCTATCTCTGAGCAGACAGAATGTAATTGTTCAGTTTGGAATTTCATGTTAGCACTATTGTTTATGATGGCATTTCTGCAACGATTGTGAAGATTCAGGACCTTTGTTTTAAGACCTTTCCCTATAATTTTCTTCAGAAAGACAGAGCTAGGAGAAGAGTTGCTCCCAGGGAAATACCAGCAGCAAGAACAGTCTCTTTTCCTACTCCGAGGTGCAGAAATTGCCAGCTAGGTGCTACTTGATATCTGAAAATCTAATGAGATCATAAGGGAAATGAGAAAGGCACAAAATGGTCTAAAACACATGAAGGGTACGTAAGGGACTTCTGTTTATCACTGTAGATCCACCTGACATAACAGAAGCCTTTTGCACAATGAGCACAGCACAAATCATGCCAAGGATGCACGGTCAGTGCTAGGACAGATCATCTATCTAGAGTGATAATCACAAATATCGTTGCCACTGCTTCAAAATGGTGCATCCCTTTATGCAACAGGGACATGGGCAGAAGGGCATCTCATTTTCAAACTGTAGACAACTGTCAGGCATGAGGACAGCAGTCATAGTGCTGCATGATAACACCACTCAGGGAAACAGCAAAAGCATGGCACAGCCCTCAGTGAATGCATGTCCAAATGTTTTCTTAGTTCATGACAAATCACAAATATCACAGTTTTCAGGTACCTTCCCCTCCCTTTGAGGAAGAAGTCATCAAGTCCTATGGTTGGACTCGATGATCTTAAAGGTCTTTTCCAACCAAAGCGATTCTATGATTCTATGATTCTATGATTCTATGATTCTTTAATTGACAGATAAAATACAGTTTCTTTTAAAATTCTGAGTGTGTATTATGGAGTGAAGCAAACATTTCTAAGTTCTTCTCAAGTCACTTGAATTCTAAATTAATCTAGCCAGAATAAATCCCATAAGGTAATGCATTTCTGTTTCCATAGCATTTCCTTTGCCATTGATGTCACTCTCTTTAATGTTCATATTGAATATATCTTATTATGTGAGAACTATGCAAATGGTCTATAAAGCAGATAAGTGAGGACTGAAAGGAATTAGGGTCATTTGAAGTTCATTATTAATAGAGCTCACATTTGCCAGCATACTTTTACTGCTGGAGTAGAAAAATAGTGGGTTTAGTATTCTAATATAAACCTCCTAGAGTCTGAGCAGCCCAAGTAACTGTTCTACCATTTTTGTCCTCTTCCTTGGGTCAGATTTTCCATCAACCAGATGCGAGTTAATATCTAATTGTAAAGTGGACAAGCGGTCATATTTCAATTGCACGTTCACAGGTATAAATCCTAGTGACTTCAATTAAATTAATTTAAACTTTTCTGGTGTAGATGTAACCGGTTTCCAATCTGTCAGGTTTCTGCCTGTAGAGTTGTCATTTTCTGTTCTTCCTTTTATCTCCTCTTGTGTTGATAATAAATAAAATCATTAAAAGGACGTATTTCTGCAGATTTTTTTTTTAAACGTTTTAATCAGAGATGTCATGATTGACAAGATCTTACTTCCAGGCTTTGCAAATTTGCTTGCATTTGTCTTTCTTAATGTGTCCTTTAAAAATTACTATGAAATGGTGAAAAACAGATGGCTTCTTTTTCCTTTTAACCTTGAAAGAAAAGAAAATACTCAACCTATTTGTTCTTTTATGTTCCTCTGAAATGTCATCTCTGTTTCATTTAAGCTTAATACAAATATTTTAGGTTCTGGATGACCAGTGGGGCCCATCCTCCCCAGGCTGCTTAGCATGGTGGATGCTTCTCCCAGTAGTTCAGAGTAATTCAGGTAACATTGCAGGATTGCCTTTTCAATAATGTATCCCAATATAAGCTTAAATAGACCTTTAGCACTTGAACCAAAACTCAGTGTTAACTCTGAATCCAATGTTACAAGAATCACCCAAGCTTGACAAATGCAGAACAAAAAATATGTAAATCCTCACCTACAGTTGCAGAGAAGTTAGAGTAGGCAGAGTCATTGGTATATACAAAGGTAGAGTTATGGGAAGGAAGCACAGTGAAGTTGTGGATTCTTAGAGCTGGGTGGAACAACAAAAGAAAATAAGCAAATAAGCAAAACAATGAATAAACAATCAGTAATGAATTGACCAGTTCATATCTCTCAACATAGCACAAATCACAGATTTTAGTCAGTGGCCTTTAAAATTATCATGCAACCGCTTCTCCCAAGGATTTGTATGCACATGAATGTAGCGTTCTTTAACTACACAAGTTAAATAAATGCAGTATCACTAAAACTTTTTTTTTTACTTACAGTAACTGAGGAGAAAAAACTATAAAAAATATAACTACAGTTGAAGGGCTCTGAAATATAATCATGCTGGTAAAGAACTCCGCAATTATAATAAAAATCATTATACAAGTGCGAAAGCTATGGGCAATTCAAGTCCCATGTCCAATTCTGGGCTTTCCAGTACAAGAGAGACATGGACATACAGGAACAAGTCCAGAGAAGGGCTACAGAGTTGATTAAGGGATGGGAACATCTGACACATGAGGAGAGGCTGAGAATGCTGGGACTGCTCAGCCTGGAGAAGAGAAGGCTCTGGGATCTTATCAATGTGTGTAAACACTCTACAGGAGGTGTAAAGATAGTGCCAGACTCTCCTCAGTTACATCCAGTGAACAGATAAGAAGCAATGGGCACAAATTAAAACACAACAAATTCCATATAAACATCAGAAAAAAGCCAACTTTTTAATATCTGACAACATCATTTTATTCTCTAGTATTTTTTTTTCTTCTTTTGATAGTTTAACAGTATCTTGTGCACTGTAATTATTTACCCTAGGCATGCAGAAAGAGCTTGATGGAAAGCCCATGAAAGTAAATAGAGACACATTGATTTGGGATTTAGACCAACTGAGCTCACAAAAGGAAAGGTAAATGCTCAAAAAAAAAAAAACCTCTCCACAAAACCCTCAAGAAAAAAATGCATGGAAAACAATGGGTCAGGCAAAAAACCTGAACATGGCCACATCTTTTTTTATTTGCTAATATATTAAGTTGATTGTTTCTCTTCAATTGTTTCTACTGCTAAGATAACCAAAAAATTAATTTGCTGACACTCTCTCTCACAACATAAATGCATTGAGAGATATAAATCTGGCTTCACACACAATGACTTCAACAAATAAAATGGATTAACATGACGGACAGATTATGATGCTTCAAGGATTTAAGAGGAGAAACATGGAACGAAAATAATTGCATGATACGATGAGTGGAAAAACAAGAAAGACTCTAGCAGTAAACAGAAGAGTTGTGTAATCAGAGTGGTATCAAAAACAAGAAAATTGTCACCTGCATTAGATTACAACAATAAAGAAAACTTTTCTTGTATATCAAAGTCACATACCAGATAGACAGATAAAACTTCTGCTGGAGGCATTTGAAATAATATCTGTGTATTGTAACACACAATATAAGCAACTGAGAATTTGAACTATCCACTACAACATTAAGGAAAGAACTCAACATTGTCAGAATTGCACGGCAGAGAAAAAGACTTCTGGCTACTGGTATCCTCAGCAAATAATAGTGAGACAAAGTCCTCCAAAATTTTTTCAGCAAAGTCATGCAGCTGACTCATTTATAAAGTTATTTAACACAATGTCATAATAGGAGTCAAAGGAGATTGCTCATGTGAGCCAGTCCCATTCCTGTAAATGAAGGTTTGTAGGCTCAGAAGATTTATATATTCTGCTTTATCTCTTCCAAGATACTACTGAAAAGATTTCTGAATTTTGCTGAAATAAGGTAATTTAACATTATATGAAAAACAATCTAACATCAATTGTAATTTTCCCAGGAGCTATATTTTATATATCACTTTCAAAACAATGTCATCGTTATATGAGTGCCAAAACAGTGCTGGATATGGAGTGCTTTACTCTTCTTGAAACTATGTGAAGTCCGGTATCAGAAAATTACTTTAACACAGTGTTAGAGAACTCATGGCAACTTTTCGTAAGCCAAATCATGATTCTGTTGAAGTCAATGGGAATGCTGCCATCAGCCTCTAATGCAAGCAGAATATTGCTCAGATTTATTTCTGGTCAGCCAATTTTATTCCTTTAAGAAACTTTGTGGAAAGATAGGTCAAATTTTAGGCTTAAAATACTTGAACACCTCTGGAACAAAAGATTTTAGATATTTATGGATCTTTTGCCCACTTAGGAACAGGTATTGATGTCACCATTTTTGTGTAATAAATAGCAATAACTTTGCACTTTTGTAACATTTTTCATGTAAGGCTGTAAAGTTCTCTAACTCCTGATTTAATCTTCTGCAGTGACCTTTCTGGGTAAAGATATTACAGTCACCAGTAGTAACACAGGAGCTACCCCTTGTGCTAGTACAAAACAGTTCAGCTCAACTGTCAAGGTGGTCAGACACAGTGTGAGAAATACTGGGGAATATACATCAGCCCAAACTTGGAACTTGCTAAAGTGTCAGAAGAGAAAGAACAGTTAATGTGAAAATTACTGAGGGACCTTTGAGCCTCAGAAGGAGGCAGAGCATAGCTGAAAATTTCATCTGGAAGGAATGGCCCTGAAAGCCCATGATGCTGCAATGGGATACAGTGGTTCGGTCGAAGCTCCATTAATTACATCACCTGCACATCCCCAGGAAGCCCCCATCACTCCTTTTGTTCCCAATGAGAAAAATCAGAACCAGAAAACTGCTGAAACCAACCAGACTGCCTTTTAATATTGTTCGCTCTGGGATCCTGCAGTCCTGACAACTGACTCTTTCAAATCGGTGAGAGTTTTGCCTTACCAAACCTCTCTTGGTTTTGACCAACTGGAAAAAAAAAAAAAAAGTTTGAACTAATGCTGCAATAGGGAAATATCCAAAAGCACGTAAAAATAAGTAAGAAGTAATCAGGTAAGAGCTTGCACTTCTCTTTCTATGGATACTACATGCAATTTTGAAAAGTGCCTAAAGAATTTAGGCATTTAATTCCTAAAAAGCAAAAAGAAGCAGGCATCTTCAGCATAGCCAAAGATCTCAGCCACTGAATGTATTAGCTCATATTATGCATGTACCAAACCAGCTAATAACAATGTGGTTTCAATGACTCTTTGGATCATAAACCTTTTCTCTTTATAACCTTAACAATGCGTAGACAGCCCATAAAACGTCTGAGAATACTCTATAAAAATCAGTTCACAAATACAATATCATTTGGACATTGGAGCACTGCAAAAACATCAACTGAAAAAAAAACCCTCAACTGCTGTGGTACAAAACCTATTCCCTTTCATTTCTCCTGCTCCCTTTCTACTTACAGACTGACACAAATACTTATGTTATTGCCATTGTCAACGAATCCTTTGTCTACCTCCATTCGTATCCCGAAACTCATGAATTCCATCCACATCTTCCAATGGCCAGTAATGGGAAGCTGATGCAAGAACTCTGAATCCTTTCAAGAAACACAGATTAAAAGGTTATTAAAGTACGGCCCAACAAGGAGCACAACAAGCCTTCATAGAAGAAACAATAAAGGAGGTCAATAGGTTAAGTAAAATGAGATATTTTATGTAAATCAAGTACAGCACATAAGCAAGATCAAATCAAAATGACAGAGTAGATTAAAGCCATATATCTGATTGAACACTGCAGAAAACCTGTTTTTAAAATTCAAATTATTTTTATTTTAATTGCACTTAAAACACATAACAATCTCAGGCTAAATCTCTGCCAGTTTATCAGGCAGCATTCATTGAAGTAACAGTTGAGGAGTCATTCAAGAGTAATTTCAAGTACATTGGATAGTACAAAGCACTGAGAACAGAATGCACAGGGGAATGTTCAGCCTCTCTAGCATAATACTTCTGCCTCCTCCGTAGGTAACTCAGTGCTCTGCAGTTCAAGGGAGTAGAAGAAGATGCTAGAGAGTTCCCACGAATCTTGCCCTCTCTTCAAAACCCACTGGAAAACCAGTGCAACACCTTCAGGTTATATCAATCCAAGTGGTTTTTTCCACCTTTGGTCTTCTATGGAAAGACACTAGTCAGACATAGTAAGGAGCAGTGCTCAGCAGCAGTGGAACTGCAATGTGGATGAGAGTATAGGTTGTTAACAGTTATATACTGCACCTATAGCTGTGTTATAGCACAGTTGTTACTGCAGAGTCTAACCTTCCTGATGTCTCCGGATAACTCTCACCTTAAGAGAGTCATTAGTAGAACTTACTTCAACAGAAGGAATGTGCTGTTCCTTAAGAGAAGGGGTTCCAGATTATTAAGCAACATATGGAAAAGAGTTCACTCCTTCCCATATGGCATTAGCTATTCCTTCAGAACCTTCTCCACTACACCAAAACCAGAACAACTCCTTGAGGCTGATGAGAATCTTTTGTTTTCCTAAGTGTCCTCCTTAGCAACAGGTGGACAGCTGACAAAAGCAAAACATACACTGGTTTCCATTGGCAGATTTATCTGTACAGTCTAATTGATGAGTTTGAATAGATTTTAGATGTGACTACTCAAACCTGACCAGAAGCAGACTTCCCAGAACAATCAAATTTTGTGTTAAGATAATTCTATTTTAAGAGTAGAGAAATACTAATGTAGGAAAACATGAATTGTAATTTGTTATTATCTTGTTAGCTGCAAGAAACCCTTTATTTTCAAAATAATTAATTAACCGGCTGTGCTGAAATAAATTTATAATCTCCTATATCTAAGCAAATTTTAAAGGTTAATACAGATACACAGAAATTTTACTGTGAATGCAAATGGGAATGTGTTTTGTTCACCATCATGGCATACCATCCTATTAGTTTCACTTTTTGGGGGGGGTGACAGTGGGGGGTGGGGAACGATGTAACGGACGACAGGTACAGAGAGAGCAAGAGTTTATATTACACCATATCTGTAGTTCTTTGCCTTATGATCATTTTTCATTCCCAAGCAATCTCTCAGGAACCTGAGGTGTGAAGCTGGTACAGATAAGTTTCTTAAAAAAACACTTCAGCCATCATGCACAATACAAAAGCTCCCCACACTCAGTGTGCAAATTAAAATGAATCACAAGCAGCATCCTTTTGCCCTTTGACATTTACAGTCTATTGACATTTACAGTCTATCCCACACCTTTCTTCACTCTTGAGATCAAAACAGCTTGCGTATTTGACAACTGTTCTATCATTTTAACATCCTGGATGCAAACAGGATTTCTTTATCATGAATATGAGGGTGCAAAAATTTTACGTGCGTCTTTAAACTGCCTAGCCCACACAGTGGAGATCAGTTTGATGTCCTCCATCCTTATGGCATAGTTTCAGAGCTGTGACACAGAGAGGGTCCTAAGATTTTTTTAATAAGAGTGCAAAGCTGATAAAATTGCTAAACATCACAAGCAATTATAGACCTGAGAGCACAGAACTCAGAAAAGCTCTGCATCTTCTGAGGATACACAAACCACTCAGACTTGCTTCCAAACTCAACTATACCAAAGATACCTAACAAATGATTCATAACTGATCAGAATCTATTATTGGCCTACCTAACTAGAAATGTTTGCAGTTTTCAGAGGTTTTCCCACAGAGAGGGAGCATGAGTATAAATAGATAAGATGGGGATGTCTTTAGAGACACAGAGGAGATTCTATAGCTGTATGTTTCCTTTGAATGTTTGGAAGATAGAGAGAAAGGCACAATTAATAAGAAAAGGAAAAGCTACTGCCAACATAAGAGGATAATGGCACAGAATAAGCACGTACGAAACCCAATCTGAAAGTTCCAAGCAACCCAGACTCAACTAAGCCAACCATGGCAAAGCACACTGAGGAAATGGGTTACAGGAGCAAGGTTTTTGCATTTACATAAACTAAGTCTGGGTACGTGCTTAATTCTATATTCAAAGAACATATTCTGACTGCTGCAAATGAAATTAAAATTACGAATTTCTGAGGTATTAAGAGCATCCACATATGCAACCTGTGTTAATGTACCTCCATCCAACTTTCATCAAACGACCAGTTCCATTTTGCAGAGCACAGAACACACCTGCTGTTTCAGTGTGCTTATATGCAAATATCTCTTGCTCCCATTAATATCTCCCTTTTGTATCAGGGGAAAAGAAAAGGATTAAAGTTAAGAAAGACGGTAGGAAAAAAAATAGAGAAAAACAGAAAAGAAAAATCCCAGGAGAAAATTATTTGATGCCAAAAAACTGTGTCATAATATGGCACAATATTTTAGTAGTAGTAACAGCAGCATCACAACAAAGGCATTGTTGTGGTTGCCATCAAACTGATAAGGAGAAACTATATTCTAAGGAGCTTACATTTAAAAGCTGGAAAAAAATGGGAAAGGAAATAGATACACAGCTAAGTGAATTGCTTAGAACCACGCTGCATGTCAGTGGCTTTCCCAGCTCCCAGTTCTGAACTATATAAAGCCGTGCTGTTACCCCATTTCCAGCCAATCACCCCTGAGAAGACCTCTGAAAACAAATACCTGTTGCCTTGAATTCAACTTATACTTCCGATATCCTTTCAATAGGTAACTACTCTGTGTTTAGAACAAAATCACAGGACTTGTTTACAGCCTAGCTCAAATCCAGAAATCATTGCTTGCAGTTATGCTTCCCCACACATGCTGTACTACAAAATAAACATTGTGTAACTTGCCCCCTTATTGCAGCAGGCTTTTTTCCCCCCTATTGTTCCATCAGCTAGAAGCCAGTGATCCTCATCTATAGGAAATGAGACTATTTCTGTTCTTGAGTGAAGGTAGAACAAAAGAAACTAATCGGGCTGAAGCTACTGTGAAAGCAGGCAACACAGCTTTTCCACATTGCTCTGTATTTTATTTTGAAAATAATTACATATGGTTAAGACTTAAAAGCACAAAGCAATACATGAATTGGTAAAGCAGTAAAATTGTACTTGTACACCACCATGAGGCTTGAGGTTAAACTATTTATATAAACAGAAGAATTCTGCAGTTACACACACAGACTCCAAATAAGCTTTAAGTAAGTTTTTTCTACATTGAAAACAGATGAGAGATCCTTAATATGCTCTATAACTGATTTAAACTTAAGTATGAAGGCTGGGAGGAAGATAGATGACCTGAAGCCATGCCAGAGTATTGCAAAGTATACAAGCTGGCATATCTGACTGTAAATCAATGAATTGAAAATGCTGAACACTAAGACAGCGAGAAAAAAAAAATAGTCTGTGTAGAGGTCCGATTCAGAAACTCATACTCAAAAAAAGTAATAATAAACAAACACTGTGTATAGGATTTCTCTACATATCAAACACAACCAATTTTTCTTCAAATACATTTCTATGCAGAATATTTAGTAGGTAGGTTACTGAATTTAAAATGACTGGGGCAGTCTGATACTTTAGACTTTATCACATTTTTAATACAGAGCTGACATTCAAATGTAGGATGACAGCTTCTTTGGAGCTTCTAAGAAAATGAAAAATACAAACCAAAAAAGCAAATACTTAAGCACATTGTCAGAAAACGTAAATAGAACATTCCTTACCTGGGTGTTTGGGTAGCTGGGAATAGTTTCCATACACCTGCAAAGAAAACATTACGTAATGAGACACAGTGAGGCAAAACTTGTTAAGAGGAATCCAAATATATCTCAATACTGACCATATTCAGAACATTACCTGATATCTGTACTGAAATAAAATCAGCAAAGAATAACGACAACAGAGCAGAGATAACAAATTCTCCATGGTCTATTTAAGGTTAAAAGTAAACTGAAATAAAAATCCTGTAAGATTGCAATCATAAGTTTTCTTTTGCTACTTTTTGTATTAAAAGGGACATTTTCCATGCAGGTTCAAAAAGTCCGTTCCTTCAGTGATGCCAAAATATTCTTCCAGACCCTTTGAGTAGTATTTTCTTGCTTCACACTTTGATCTCTTCATTTAACTATAAACAAATTACCGTGACTGGAGGAAAATTAAGATAAACGTGCATCAGATCCGAAAGTTGTACTGTTCCATGGAAAGAAGTCAAATATTTCTGTTACAATCTGTGCCAAAAAGAAAAGATCTTGTTTTCAACTTTCTTCTTATAGTTGTCTTTTCCTTTCAATTACTTTCACGTTGTCAGAGATCTGAAGCCATTTTTAGTTTTGCTAGCAAGAAAATGTACTTCCTTATAGCACGTAGGGCATATAACTCTCACGATTTCCTCAGAAACTGAGCTGAAAAGAGTTGCTAACTCCTCGCTTGTCCAGCTCACGTTTGCACCTCCATCCCAGATCTCTTTGGGTGGAGAGCAAGTCTGAGTGATGTCATGCTTTCTTCTCAAACTTTGTCCCATTCTGGTACTCTATTTATATCACGTTGCTGCTGTCTCTTTTCTGGGTCCTAACACCAGCCAGCTAGGAACAAGTGGAAACAAGTCAATGTGCTTCAGCAAACAGATAAAAGAGATTACTGCTCTTAGCAATCTGCACACTTAAAGAAGAATCAAAGCCAGAACAAGTGTTCATAATTCCAGTGCTTAAGAAGAAAAAAACATGTTTTGGATAGAAATTTTTGAAGGAAAGCTAAGACCTATTTACTAAAATAACAGATTACATTTCTGTCTAAAGAAGCAGAACCTTTAAAAAAATACTGATTTAAATCACACGGCACTCTGAGGGATTAATTTTACTAGGTCTCTATCAAGAAGGAGAAACTGAGGCATTAGTCATTTCACTGATTTGCTCAAAGTTGCACAACAAAAGTAGAAGAATTTTCCTAGTTCTTTTACTATAGTTGCCACTTTAATTTCTTTATAATACATATAATTACATTTAAGTATTTTATCAGAGCCTCCCAATTACACTCTGAACTACATCCCCAATATTAATCATCAGCTTATATATAAAAGAAAAACAGCAGCTAGAACTAGTTGATATTCTTCATTTACTATGCTCCTCTATGGTAAAATCTTGTTTTCAGTTCCCTCCAAGTTCTTTTTTATATTCAGTGAAATAAACTGAAAGAATAATATTTTAAACAAAATTTTTTTAAAAAAAATCCTTGTTCATCTCTCCCCTGCATTTCCGTATCAACCTCTTCTTTATCCTCACATGAGCCATTTAAAGGTGATGTAGGCAAGACCAGAAACTAAAAATCTGAATCAGACCACGCCGACATCTCAGCAAAATCAAAATTATTGTATTTGCATTTTCTTTTGCCAAAATCGACATGAATAGATGAGATATTATTTGCAGCCCCAGAAAATTAACCTCCTGCAGCAAAACATTCTCTGTCTAAAATCAAGGGACACACAAGATACTGATCTATAGAAAAGTGATCATGCGCTCCTGTTCCCATGCATGCCACTGCCTATCCATGACTTATCTTCTGATCTTTAGTCACCCTTCCCTCCCTACCCATCCATTTTGTGACTCTTGGCTCCATCTTTTCAGGTGTCTATATCAGCTTATATTTGCCTGGTTCCTTTTCTTAGCCCTATTCCTTCCAGTACTCTTCTTAATCATGACTTCCGCACCAATCTCTTGGCTAGAGTCAATTATAGCTTTTAGGATGAAACAGCTGATATTGATACTTTATATAGAGATTATATAGCAGGAAGCCCTCTATATCTGGTAGTAGCTGTAGCCCCCATTTACCCAGCTGGCTCCCCAGGTGCATACTGAACTTCCAAAGCTTCTCGTGCTAACTAGCTCCTTGCAGATGACTGGTGAGTATATGGGACTCCAGGGTCCACGGACTGAAGAAATCAAAATTAATTTTGGAAACCTTAAGACATTCACGCTACATGAATGCTTCAATGTTACCAAAGTTTAATATTACAAAATTAAAATGTATCTTTTGTTTGCAATCCTGATTTAGGACCTTCAACAAATGAATTTTGAAAATTTTTAATTTCAGTTCCTACAAAAATTTAGCTTCCTACTTATTTATAACAAGTCTGACTTTTGTTTATTTCCCCTGGGTTTTTTTAGACTCCTTCCCTCATTACTGTTAGCCACAAACTCTTCTATATCCTCTAGGAAGAGGAGGAATTCTGTGTAAACCCTAGGAATTCTGCATCACATATTAACAAGTAGAGCCACCCTCAGAAATAATAGAGCGCCGCAGCTAAAAATCCTGAGAAAAGCTAAAATGTAAAAAGAGAAAGACAGGAATTTGAAATATTTGCCAAGAGGGGCCTGTCAAGGGAAAGAATATGCTTACCAAAACAATTGTGAGAACCCAAGCAAACACATCCACTGCCAAAAATTTTTGTGGAAAAAGTAAATTGCAAGCAGACATGAGAGATCATTTGCAGAAACAAATTCTGAATTTATTCCTGTGATCCTCTGGAAACCTGATCTGAAAAGTCACACTGCTCCCACCACAGACCAGAGGCAGCACTGGCTATCTTGTGTGCAAACCAGAGTAACTGATCAGATGTTCGGAAGACAAACAATCACCGTGGATTGCTCTTGAAGAACCTGCAGGTTAAATAATGTTCATTTAAAGTACTAGCACATCAATAAAAGTGCAAAGGCCTGCATATGCTGGGTAACTGGGCAGCCTGTGCTAAGCCCGCAGGAGAGGTTTCTCCCCAGCGCAGCTCTCCCACTCCGGGGCCCCACTAAGGGAGCAAGGAAGGAGAAAGCTGTGAACCCCCATCTTACAGTACAGGAGGGGGGTCCATGAAAGGCCTCCAGATTTTCTGTCCCACTTAAGCAGAGAGCAGGGAAAAGGCCAGGAGGAGACATTTGCTGACAGGTAGAATAAGTTCCCCAACACAGAACAAAACAGAAAGCCTGATGATCTGTAGCAACAATCAGAGGCTTGCAAACAGCCCTGGGAAGTCATGTGGCCCAGGTTTCTCCTCCCCCACTTTTTTTTTCCTTCACTTTTTTGGGGGGAGGAAGGGGGGAGACCTTTGAAAACAAAGGTTTAACAAAAAAGAAAGGTAAATCACTATGATATACATTGATGTCGGTTGCCACACTTTCACAGCAATGTGAGTGTGACCCATCATGCAATAATTAAACTTAACTTTCAGATTCAGCTTTCCTTGTTCAACTCATGTTCATTCAGGACAACCGTATTATTGAAACAGAAAATTAGCAAGTGCTGTAGCTGACATTTACCAGCAAATGAAAAATAACCTGAAGTTAAAAATCTTTATTGCTAACTATGTAAATATAAGCAGAGAAAATAATCTTTTAAAGAATGTTTTACACTGCAGAAGAGAAACAATCTGTAATAGTTTTCTTCCTTTGTTTTCATTGGAATCATTAACTTCCCTCAAGAGAGCTGGTGCATAATTGGGACTGAAATGTTTTAAGAAACATCTTCAGAATATTTTAAGAATAAATCTAACAGCTAGATTTTCTAAAACTTCTCTAATATCACGGTCTTTACTAATACACCAGTAAATATTCTGGATTAAAATGACTCCCTGGTCAAACTATTTCTCTGCCAGTAATAGAAATAATTTACAAGGTGGTTAAAGCTGATGTATCACCACCCATATGCTTAAATTTCTAATTTTAGTGCTAACTTTTCTGGCTTGTCATGGGCATCCAAGATAAGTAGTTGTAGAACTGATTTTACTTAATGTCACTTAAGAAACTGTGGGATCTTTTTTTTTGGTGTAAGTTACTTCAACTGTCCTTTGCTACAGGCAACATCCAGGGCAACTCTACCAGCTCTCTTTGATTAGATTTGCACAACTGCAAGGAAACAGAACAAGATCTTGTTCAAAACTTACCATCGCAATACACACCTTTGTACCAGCACAGTTATTTTTATAATGAGTATAAACTATTTACTCACAGAATTCTAAAGCAGAAGCAGTTTCACAGATAAAGAGGTCACCTCTAATGGAGTTTGTTACCTATTCTTTATACACTTATTCCACTGCAGAATTATGAGCCCATACCAAGTAGGAGTTTGGGGTTTTTTATTTAATCATGAATTTTGTAATGAAAAAGTCTTTCCTAAACATATGAAGTTGGCCTTGCACAAGACTGTAGCAATGTGAAGGTCTTGCACTAGCTCTCAGACCAAGTTTGATATATTCATTAACAAAGCAGCATGTTGTTGCTGTATTTGGAAACTTGTGCAGCGCTCACACTCAACAGGAAGGTCAAAGATTTGGTGAACCAAGTCCTCTGCCTCTAGTTACTGCACAAGGATGAAATGCAGTGAGGGACAGGGTGAAGC